ATCCTTCAGCATCATCAAATCAAAATTTTCAAAGTTTATCACTTACAGCTACTTGGGAATGGCTTGGTCACAGTTTACTCTCCCAGATGATCGTGACCGGTTCTCTTACATGATTTGTCTCCGTAAAGGAGAGGTGTACAAGTTCCCAAAAAGGATGCTCATCCTCCCTCGAGCCCCGGACTCTGAGCTACCTCCTCTGTATCTTGAGGCAGCCCCACCCCCACTCCTCCCTGCAGACGTCTTGAGTTGCTTTCTTAACTTTCTAAAATCTAGTTTTAATTACAGAAGCAATTGCTTAATACAGCCTTCTTGTAAAAGAGTCACAGATATGGTTAAAAACTCCTTCGCACCACCCCTAACGTAGGCCTGGGCCTTTTTCCCAGAGAGGTACTTTGTCAGTGTGGTCTGCCCCTCCCAGATCCTCTCCTGGATATTTCTAGCCACATATTTATATACCCACAGGAAATTTACAGTGCTACTTTATACATCTGAAATTTGTTGAGTTTTTCAACAATACTACATCATACCCAAATTATCTTAAAAGACCTTGGTTTCCCCAATCAATATTATGCTTTAGAAATCTACACAAGTGAGCACATACATGTTCCTTGAATGCTCTGTAGTATGAATGTAACTGGAATGCATTTCTTCTTTCTCCTGTTGTTAGATTTCTGCTATTTCTGTTGTTTCCCATTTTCACTAGCCAAAACAGTGCTAACATGAGCATCCCTGTACATGCCTGCTAGTCTGAATTAGCCTCCCCCTGGGATAATAAAAGGCAACCGAGATTTTGTGGTGTGTATGGTTTTTTGCTTTGGGATTGGTTTTGATTTGTCCTGATAAATGCACATAACACTATGTAGCTACACATCCTGGAGTGAACGCGATACTATGTCAGCTTGTGTTTGGCTTCTCTTCAGGATTCGGAAAGTATGGCAGAGAAGGAAGTGTGCCGTGAAGAATGGAATGCTGACCATCTCTCATGCCACAGTAAGTGTCTCTGGTAATTTACACGCTGCGCCCGTGAGGCCTTTGGCCACATGGACTAGAAAGCCAACACGTGGTGTCACCAGCACTGAAATGTCACCCTTATGTTTATGTGTGAGGCTGGGTTTGATTGCTTTGCAATCGTCAGGGTGACAACCCTTCCCTCATTTTGGTTAACAGACATTTGTACATCGGGTAATGGAAACAGGTTATAAATTTCTTCCTCCACAACTCCCTGATCATTTCATTGACAAAATGTAATGAGAATACTTTTTTAAAAACATGGTCCATAGCTCATATGTTTTCTCATCAAATTAATGCCTTTGGTACAATTCTCCTGAGAAGGTTTTTGGTTTAGGCGTTCTTTTTGGGTAATAAGGCATGGATTAAAGTGGGTGGCACAGTTCACTAGGAGACGGGAGTGTGACAGTTCTCCCTGTACTGCTTGAACTCTACCTACTGGCAGACAGTAGGGACTCAGCAAGTGTTCGTAGAATGACTAAATGGAGGCACATCCAGCCCATTCCTCNCAATCCCATGACTAGATTTTCCAGCCTGGCTTTGAAGCCGTGTGTTTTAGGAGTGTGTCCTCTCAGCTGTGACACACCCCTGTCCCCTTTAGATGGTCACTGTCTTTCCGGGCAGCCAAAGGGGGCCTGTCTCGTTTTGCCAGGGAAAGGGAGAAATAGTCTGATGCAGAATCCTATAGGAGTTTTGGCCCCTGGTTAGGAAAATAAAGGTGAGACAGTCCTCGGATATTGAAAAGGAGCATCCAGTGCATGGTAGATATTAAGTGAATGTGGTACAGACCCTTAATTATAAATCTCACTTGTTCATTTGTTGTTCAAACTTTTAATTAGTACCTACAATGTGCCAGCACCGGTTCTAGGCAGGAAACGTTAGTCCCTTCCATCAAGGAGCTCACTGTCTGGTAGAAAGGAGAGGCAGCCCGATGAACAAGCACTTGTCCCTAAAGTGGCATTGATGCTGTAGGACATACATGAGGAGGTGACGTGCTGAAAAGACAGTAAACCGCAAAGACTCAGTGGTACCTTGCTAAGGGTCTGGCTGCCGGCTGCTGGGAAGAGTTAAAAACTCGAGAGACAAGGTTGGTGGAAGGAAAAGCATGTTTGTTCCGAAGGCCGGCATTCTGGGGGGATGGCAGACTCCTGTCCAAAGGCCACCTCCCGTTCCTAGAGCGGTGAGAAGATGGAGCACAAAGCAAAGGGGGAGCCTGTCGGGCAGGTCAGGGCTGACACCCTTCCTGGGGTCTGGTCTGTGTGAAGAGGAGGTTCTCCCCGCGCTCCCTTCACCAGGGCCTGGGGCTTCATGTGTCACCAGTAAACACTGCAAGGCAGCCTGCTGCGCTGGGCGCTGAGGAGTAAGAAATTGTTCTTTTCAGGTTAGGATTCTGTTGATTAAATGGAGTAACGAGGTCCTGTAGTCTTAGGAAAGGGCACAGTGTAGGGTTCCTAGTTCAGTTAGTGAGTGGAGAAAGAAAAACAGCTGAATGTCAGGGGGGATCAAACTGCAGAGTAAGCCTAACTGCAGGTGGCTGGATAGTGAGCTATGAGGTGATTCACATCGAAGGATTCTTGATTCCCCGAATTTCATCCCTACGTCAAGAGATGGAGAACTGCGCCTGGCATCTTCTGCGGCTACAAATTGGGGGTAGGCTGGTAGAGAGGCGTGAGATGTGGTTTCTGGAGTGCAAACTCAGGCCTGATTACAGAGGACCTTGGGGGCACCCTGACTTCATGATAAAAGGGTAAATTAAAAAGCGAGCACCATGTGTTTCATGGTGAATTAGTATATATTATATTGTAAACTTTATATTATGAAATTAGCGTGTTTGGAATTTAAGTGCATTATCTAAGTGCAATATTTAATAATAATCACATAGAATACAGTATTTTTTATGTTGTCAGTTGCTCGTGGTATTACCTCACAATGCAAGACTTTCAATGTGTAAATTCCTAAAATTTCTGAAAGGGGTTGATGGGTCAAAACAAAACAAAGCAAACCCCTTCAAATGTAGGCAGCTCTGCACCGGGAACCCTGAGGGCTCCCTTTCCTGAGTGATCCAGCCGTCTCTTCGGCTTCCAGTCTTTGTATGCATGTCAGGTTTGGGAAGGAGAGAAACGCTTTCACACCAGGCCTCTGGTAACCTGTGGACGGAGGCATCAGTGGCCAGGATGGTGTGTGTGCTGTGTGTCCCACGTCCAGTGCCTCAGCCAGCGCCTGCACTGGGCTCTGAGGCCGCCTCCAGGATGCTTACTGCTAAAGCACAAGGAGAAGTGGTCTCCTTTCCTTGATGGATTACGTACGCAGTGTACAAGCAGCAGGAAAACCCCAAATCCAGGGGTTAGAGCTCTGCTGGTGGAGAAATTTGCAAGGTTTTGTTTACTGACCTGTGTGCACTTAACTACTTCCTACCTTTGTTTTGTCACACAAGATGACCTCCTTCCTGTACATGGAAGCTTTCTTGAAAGAAAAAAAAACAAAAAACGGGGGACCATTGCAGTTCTTTTTTGTGTTGCATAGAGACTGATGTATTCTGCTCAATGTAGCTAACGAACCAAGTTGCCTGTAAGCCAAAGGAGTGCACACATGAGGAAATGCATATGATTTGATTTAACTTTATCCCAAAATGAATGATGAATTTCCATTAGCACCATGTCCAGAGTATTTATTTCACAAGTAAAATTGATCTTTCACAGCATGCCTATCCCATTCCCATGCTGTTTGTCATCTCTCATGGCAAGATATGTTGAGAAGGTAATGATTTTGAATGACTTCAATTAAACGTGAATGGAGACTATCTACCTGAGAGTTCCCCCCATACAGCTACTATTCCAGAAGAGTTAAGGTCATCTAAAAAA